GTTCATCACATTAATATATCTAAGGAGAATAATCATGTACCATTTCTGTGCTGATTATTATGCGATTGTGTCTCAGCTTCAAATCCACACTGCTCTATTTTACTTTGTTGGGGCCCGGCCTTGGCAAACCACATATCTCCTTTGCCAGGCTCCTTTTTAGTCTCTGGCGTTAGAAGGTGATAGAGGCAAACTGGAAGCAGAAAGGTGAAATTTCCCCCTTGCTGTTTGCTTCCTGTTCCTGTGGCACCTCCACAGAAACGGTTTGTCCTGGCAGGAACGACTGACTTCAGCGGCAACAGTTGGCTCCAGTCGACAGCGCCTCCACACTCAGACCAGTTTTCTCACAGCCCTTCAGGGAAACAGCACCAGCCAGGTGTACTCCCTCACCCGAGCCCTGGACCTCTTCCTCCAAGCCTTGAACTTCAGGAACTCCATGCTCTCCTCTGTTCCCTCAGCCCCGGAGGTGGTGGGCGCTCTCCTGGTGACTTCCTTGATGATATTCCATGGGGCCCTTTGGCCTTTTCAGTTCTTGTCCAGTTCTCTAGTACGTGGCTAACAATTTATAAAATAAATACAATAAGTAAGACAATCTCCATCAACGCCAAAGTCACTTGACAAAATTCAACACTCGTTCAGGAATTTTGTAAAAAGCACTCAATAATAATTGATAGATAATACTTTAATGTGATTGTAAATATACATAACCAGCTCAAACCCAGCATCTTACTAAGTGGGGTAAAACCAGAGGCAGTCCCATGGAAATCAGGAAGAGGACAAGGATACCTACTACGATTGAACACTTTACTTAAGGTAGCAGCCATGGGATTAGACAAGAGAGAGCAATGATCGGCATCTGAATTGGGGGAAAAAAAAGGCAAAGATAGCCAAGTTTTCAGGAGATATATCTAGAAAATACTACAAACAATAGCAGAGTTTAGTAATTAACATACAGAAATCAGTAATCTTCATGTATGCAAACAATAATCAATTAGAAGAGAGAATGAAAGAGAAGATCCTATTAATATTACCAAGAAAAAAGATAAAATACCAAGGCATAAATTTAACAAGAAATGTGTAAAATCTCTGTGAGGAAAACTTCGTAACTTTCCTAAAGTCCCTATAATGTAAAGAGTATGGTAGTATGGCATAAAAAGACACACAGACCAGTAGAAGAGAAGAGAAAGTGGAGAAATAAATTTAAGTGCACATGGAAATACACCATACAAAAAGGTGGCATTTCAAATCAATAGTGAAAAACATGAATTTTTGAATTAATGGAGAGTCATTTGGAAAAAGGTCAAAATTGCATTCATACCTCACCCCATACAATAGAACAAAATCCACATGAATCAGAAATTTAAATGTCAAAACAAAATGAAATCATGGGTACTTGTCTTGATAATCTGGGAATGGGAAAATTGTTTCTTAATGTGACAAAATTCTGCTAAAAAAACAAATCGTTGATAAATTTGACTGCATAAAATGAAAAATAATTTGCCTGGGAAAGGAAAAAAGAAAAGACAAATCTCACAGAAAGGAGAAAAAATTAGAAATAAGCAATGGGAACAAAAATACCAGAGAATGATGGCTCCAGGAAGCCCACAGGCTGACAGTAACAGGAGTGCAGGAAAGGGAGCAGAGGCTGTCAGGGCGCCAAGCTCCCAGCCACTGTGCACGTGTGCCTGTAACAAAGCCTCTGGCCTCCATTCCACCTAGGCTGCTGGTCCTATGAGTAAGTTCTGCGGGACTCTCTACTCCTACAGCAGTTTCTCAAAGTCTGCTCCTAGGATAATCCGCCCCAAATTATCTGAAATGTTTGTTAAAAATGCAGATTGCTGGGCCCACCCTATTAGTTCTCAGATATTGTCTAAGAAAGCTTTCCCATTTAGGCAGAATTTGTCTAGTCATTTGAATACAGTGAGCTACGTTCATTGATCTCAGATATGAATAGGATTTATTACTCTTCATGACTGGAATAGTAGATGATCTTTAAAATCAAGTTAAAAAACAAATTAAAGAGAGCCTGAAAGGTTAAGCCCCTCAGCTGAGGCAGCAGATTACACGTAATTCTGCAAGTAGAGGAATGAAGGGTGAGAGAAAACTGGCTGGGGCAGGAGGTACTTTTAAAATCTCTGAGATGTTCACATATACTGCAGGTTTAAAAACAAACCAAAACAAGATAGCTTGGTATACAATGAGAAAACCAATACGAAAGTATTTATAATACATTTTATTTGGTTAAAAGGTTAACAGTTATTGTTTAGTTAGGAGCTGTCAGGTTAAAAGAAACTTAAATGAGAGGAAGATAAGTTACAGGATGACCAAAATGACTTTAAAAGTTTAATATTACAGAACAGCTATTTTATGCACATATATCTAAACATAAGAATGGATAATCAACACTCTATGAAAAGTCAGAAAATGAAAAAAACCCTAAAACTTTTCAACATGCATTTCATCTTCTTGATCCTAGTTATATCTCTGTTTCGACAGGTTATGATTTGAGAATTCAGAAAAAGCAGAAGCCATAAATTCACCTTATCTTCTCATCTTCCTGCGAAGTCAAAAAGAAGAGAAGATTAACAATAATAACAACCCAAAACTAATGCTTTTGCTGTGAGGCATGGAGTAGAAAATTGCTGCCTCATATCAGTAGAAAGCAGTTTCCTCAAACCACAAGCTTTGCCATATATTTGAAATACTCTATGGTAGTGGGAATTATCAATAAGGTTTAAGAAAAATTAACTAACAGATTTTATACATTACGTGTTTACTACATATTTCTTTTCTATCATGAACCTTAGCACACATATAAGAATATATGAAAATGTACAATTTAAAAGCAACCAAATAAATGCTGATGCACCTACCACCCAGGTAAAGGCATAAAATATTGCCACACCTCAGCAGCCTCCAGTGTGCCCCTTTCTGACCACACTCTCTCGTCCCCCAAGAAGTAACACCATCCTGAAGTGTGTTCACCACTCCCTTGCTTTTTCCTTAGGGTTTCTACCATCGATGTATTACACCCCTGAAGAGGACAGCGTCTGTTCTCAACTAGGTCCGACCTCTGTGTCACTGGAAGCATTCTGCAGGTGCTTCTCTGTAACTCACGTTTTCACTCATCACCTTTACTCATTTTCAAGCCTCTGCTTTATTGAACATTAAAGATACTTATTTGATATTCTGTGTCTGATTCCACTATCAGCTGCTTCTGCGGGCCCCTTGTCCCCTTGTGTGTGCAGTGCTTTTCCTTACTGTGAGCTAGCTGTTGACTTCCTTTGGAACTTTGTGGAAAATATGTTGAGGACTGAGATGAAGGAAGTCTCCTCTAGAACATATTTGCATTTCCTTCTAACAGACAATATGGGGTGCTACAAGGACTCATGGACTAATATAAATTAATATCATTAATACCACAGACTAATACTAAACCCTCAGCTTGATGTTTTTTGTGACTTCCAGATATTGTGAGTTCAGGTGCGGTGCATGAGGGTTTGATTTTGGTCATGAATTCTCAGAAGATTTTTTTTTCCTCCTCAATTCAGAATCACAGTTATCTCCTGGGGCTGAAAAATCTGGTGGGAAGGTTATTTTTAGTTTGCTCTTCTACTGAAAGTGTAGCCCAACTTTATTCAACGAGGTTTACTATTAGACTCTTCGATTTAGCTAAACCCTAGGCTCTGCCTTCTGTCTCCAGCCCCATATGGCTGTGGATCAATGCTTAGATTCACCCAGATAAACAAACGCCTTTAGGCAAACAGCCAGTTTCAGGCTCCATCTAACTCTGGCTTCCTGCGTTCATACAGTCTCTGATCTGAGCTTTCTTACTTCTCCACCAGCTAATAGATGTATTCAAGGTTTGTTTTTTTAAATATTTCACCCAGTAATTTTATTTTATTTTTCCAGGAAGAGGGTTGATCCATGCACCTAGTATTTCATGTTGCAAGAAGCGGAGTTGTAGGTATTCTTTACATTATTTATGGTTTTTGGATGAGATAGATACACATGATGCCAATTTAAAATGTATAAATGGTTAGACAGTGAGTAGGTCTCTTACTCTTCTCTGCACCCCTCTCCAGAGCCAATATGATACCATTGCTTTGGGTAATTAGATAGAATTTATTTAACTCTTTCAAAAGAGCTACCTATTCTAAACTAAATATAGCAACACGCTGTAATAAAATAGTACTCTATTTTAGTTTAGATCTACTGGGCATGCAGATTATTTGGTGAACAGTTTAGTTGGCAAATTTTTAAAAAGAAAAATCACAATGTACATTCAGTATAAATACTAAGAGTGATGACAACACAGCTGCCATTTTTTCCCCTTTGTCTTTCTGGATTGGGAATGGCACGCGGCAGATATATCACAGCTTCTGATAGGCCCCAAGGAGAGGAAACTGCTACTACAGAGTGATCGTCATAGGCACTGAGGACAGGAGTGGCAGGAGTTATCAGGAAGGTAGTAGAAATATATTTTTTAAAGTCTTTATCTCAAGTTCTAAAGCACTGAACATTGCAAACGGGGACACTGTTAATAGTAAAAGTCCTAATCCATAATGAATATATAGTAATTATGATATTTATGTACCAAATAGCAGAGTAACTACATTTATGAAGCAAAAATAGGAGGTGCATGGAGACAGATAGGAACCCAATAATAGGAGCTTTTAATATACTACTCTCAGTATAAGACAAAGTAGACAAAAAATAGGCAGGAGATAGAAGATCTGAACAACATCATCAACAGTGTAAATCTTATGAGTATATATCGAACTCTACATTCTGATAATAGAGAATACATAATTCTTCTTAAGTGCTCACAGCACAGTTACAAAAGCTGATCATATATTAGGTCATAAAGAAACCACCACTAACTTCCATAAAGTAAAACTAGTACAAAAAGCAATCTCTGACCACAATGCAATAAAACTAGAATTTACAAACAAAAACAAAAAACAGAAAGGTCCATCTACCTGGAAATTGAAAAATCTCTTATTACATAACTCCTGAGTAAAAGGAGAAATTAAAAAATAATGACAATAAAAACATTACATATCAGAATCTATGGGATGCAACCAAAGCATTGCTCACAGGAAAATTAACTGCAGTAAACAATTTTATTCACATAAGTGAAAGAATAAAATAATAAATTGAATTCCCAACTCTAAAAACTAGAAGAACTACATTGTACATCAAAAGAAATCACAGGGCCGGCCCCGTGGCTTGGTGGTTAAATGCGCGCGCTCCGATGCTGGTGGCCCGGGTTCGGATCCCGGGCGCGCACCGAGGCACCACTTCTCCATCCATCCTGAGGCCGAGTCCCACATACAGCAACTAGAAGGATGTGCAGCTATGACATACAACTATCTACTGGGGCTTTGAGAGGAAAAATAAATAAATAAAATCTTTAAAAAAAAGAAATCACAAAGTAGGAAATAAACACAAAGTAAGAATTAATGAAATAGAGAACATAAAAATAGATCTAATAATAAATCAAAGTCCTAATTTTTGAAAAAGTTAAGCAAATAGACAAACCATTACCTTCCTTGATCAAGAAAAAAAAGAATGAGAAAAAGCACAACTTAAAAAAAATAAATGACAATGGAGAAGTAATGATTGAAAGAAAAGATATCTAAAATTCATTCATATGTCCAATTTCTAAGAGATACTTTTAGAGACTTATGCAAATAAATTTGAAAGGCTTGATGAAATAGATAATTTCCTATGGAAATACAAACAACCAAAACTAACCCTATTAGAGTGAGAATACTTAAAGAGACCAATAGTCACAAGAGAAACAAAGTTAGTAAGGAACTACTCCCCAAAAAGAGCACCTGGTCCAGATGGTTTCAGAGGGGAATACTACCAAACCTTCACAGACCAGATAGTCGCAACATTCTATAAACTATTTCACAGCATTGTAAAGAAAGGAGAACTTCTTGATTCTCTTAATGAAGCAAGTATAATACTGATATCTAAGCAAGAGACAGACAGTTCAAACAAGGAAAACTATAGACTCATATCAGTTATGAGTATTCAAACAAAGGTTCTAAACAAAATATTTTAGTAAAGAAATCCAACACCATATTATGAAAAACATACACCATAACCAAATAAGATTTATTTGAGGAATGCAAGGTCGGTTCAATACTAGAAAACCTATCATCATACACCATGTTAATATGTGTAAGGGAGTAAAGCATACTATTTTTTCATAGATGCTGAAAAAACCTTTGATAAAATTCAACACTCATTCATAATAAAAACACTCAATAGACATTGAGGGACACTTTCTTAATATGATAAATTATATACACATATCTTAATCCTAAAGCCAGTATCTCGTTTAATGGGGAGGCAATAGACGTATTTCCACTGAAATCAGGAACAAGGCAAGAATGCCCACTATTCCTGGTACTATTTAACACTGCACTTGAGGTATTAGCCAATGCAATTACAAAAGGGAAATCAATAAGAGACATGAATGGGTAAAGAAGTAAAACTATCTCTATTTTCAGATGATATCACAGTATACCTGGAAAACTCCAGAGAAAAATGAGATAGAGAATAAAAGAATTCAATTAAGTAGCAAGTTATAAACTTACACAAAATTCAACAGCTGTCATTTTCACAAACAATAAACACTAGATATGATTTACAAGTCCAATTTACATATCCATTTACAACAGCAACAAAGACTAATTCAAACAAATAAATTTAACAGGAAATATGTAAAACCTATGAGGAAAATTTTTAAAACACTTCTAAAAGATACAAAAGAAGACTTAAATAAATAGAAAGATATCTCCTGTTCTTGCATAGCACAACTCAATACAAAGATGTTAGCTCTCCTTAATTAACATATAAATTCAATCAATCCCAATAAAAATACCGAAAAACCAGAGTATTAATTTTCAGGTCACAGCAATTTCACCGCCCAGGTGACATTTTGCAACATTTAGAGACATTTTTGATCGTTATAAATGGACAGATGCTACTGACATCTAGTGGGTGGATGCCAGGGATACTGGTACATATCCTACAATGCACAGTACAGCCTCTCACAACAAAGAAATATGTAGCCCAAAATTTCAATAGTGCCAAGAAGGAAAAATCCTGATCTAGACAAGTCAATACTAAAGTTCATATGGAAAAACAAACATGTAAGAACATCAAGGAAAACGTGGAAAAACTATAAGAGAGTATCAGCCCTACCAGACATTAAAACGTACTATAAAGCCTCAATACTAGACAAGCAGATGACAGCAACAGAATAAAAAGTCCAGCATTAGACCCTCTAAAAGTAAATGTAGAAATTTAGAATATGACATGGTCGACATCTCAAATCGTTGGGATAAAGATGCATCTTTAAATAAAAAATAGTGCTGAGACAGCTATAATAAAAAGACTACCTAAGAAGCTATAATAAAAAGACTACCTAAGAAGCCATTTGAAAAAAAGATAAAATTAGATCCACATCTAACATCACACGTTGGAAAATACTTTAGGCCAGTGCCTCAGCCCCAGCAGCAGCTGCCTTGCTGGCGC